CATTTATCAGACTTCCGCTGCATACATGCTCATCCTATATTGGTTGATCTCTTGGTTCTGCCCATACTTGTTGAAGTACTCGCAAGTATGTAACACGTTGCCATTGCCTTCTTAAACCACCAGTACACGGCCCCAGCCTTGCAGAAAGAAACTTGTTGCTACCACCGAAAAGGTCGGGGCGGTGCGGGTCAGGGCAGCTGTTGATAATTCCATCGGCAGCCTCAGATACATTACCAATTTACCGGTCTTCGAAAGGGGCCTGCGGCCAATGTATGGGTGTACTGGTGGTTTAAAGCAGCAGTACACCACACATCGGCCCGCGGTGTCAGCATGAGACACGCACCACTTCAGAGGCCCCCGATCATTTTTCTCAACGGGACCCCTGGCTGCACGGCTCCTCCGAGTTTTGCGTGTGACGACAAAAACTTTCTGCAAGGCTGGGGCCGTGTACTCGCGGCTTAAGGCACTTTAGTAAAATAATGTCTCTGGCAGTCTCCATAGTCATAGCATTCAGCCAAGACCCTGAACAGAACATCCCTGGGCAGGATTGTTTTGCAGTCTCGTAAGACAGCAGTAGTTGTGCTGGCCGTGTTTTCATTCTTGATAGGACTAGTTATTGTGTTTCTTGACGTAGACTGTTATTGGTTTCATGAAAAGTTGTTGTGGTGGTGGTTATTGTTTGAAGCATACAAAACTTTACCGAATTATAATTGTGAACCCAACTCATATAAATTGATAGGGAGTGGGAGTGTAATACTCCTTGCCTCTTGAATTCCGACAGAGCTACTGCATTCGGTGGGCTGCCTGAAGTCCCACAATACTATCTAGTCGCATAGTCTGGTCAGGATGTCTTCCCCTCAAAGAAGCCTTATTAGGAAGTAGTAGGAGTAGGGTGGATAGAAAGACTATCAAGATACAAGGGGGTCACCCAAGCGCGCATTGAGAGGGCCTTCACAAGTTCCCTGCATAACCGTGACGAATGGTATGCCACAATATGCGTAATTAACTGCTCCAGTCAAACTCCTCCAATATCCACCTATTGTTACAGGGGTGCCCTAGATCATGTTAAGAAGCCAAAACCAGATATCCTTCCATACCCAACTGCTTGCCAACTACATATGCTGATGCAGCAAGGTTCACATCAAACTGGCGAGAAACCATAGCATGAGTGGTCAGCAGTCTTGCTCAAAGAAAACCCCTGTAGCAGTAACACTTGCAAGTTGCAACTGCAACGGTCAATAAAAGTCGTTTGTGAGGTAACAATCAGCAACAACCGCAACAACAACCAACTAGCAGCAATAATGGTAGGGTTACTAAATAATAGTTACGCTAGCCTAAAAATTATAGCAGTGGAACTGCGGTCACTACGAATTGTTATCGCCGCAGGACCTGCAAGAACAACAAGATGACATAACTTTTAAAACCATGTCCGTGGCATTCAACACAACGATGCGGGAGCCCTTAGGCACATCCGCGTGTCGTCGTTGTCGCTTTGTATAGTATCTATAGTTCCCCATGGCGAATTCCACCCCACAGCCTTTGCAGCCAAGGCGTTCTCAGTAACTTCTACCACATGTTCCCGTGTTGGGCCCGTGTCGCGCAACACTCCGTAGATCCCTGGCCCCTCATGAAGTGCCATTTGACATGCATCGACATAACACACCTGACCATCCCCTTGATCATGACTGTCGAGGGGTCTTTTAATTGGCACATACCTTGTACACTGAGTACGGCACATTATACACGGCGTCCAAACTTCTCGCATGACTTGTTGCCTCGCATCACCTAGGTGATGCGTTCCAAAACAAAAAGTCGTTTTGTTATCATGGCGTAACTGTCATGACATTGGGTTGGTTCAGGCACCACTGTCCCTCCCTGCGCGTTGTTGTGCAGAACGTGAGCAATTACCCTTGTAAGGAAATTTGCTTTGACAGTTTTTCGGGAACACCCCTCCCCTCGCCAGCCTAAAGTCGATTTTCCGGGGAGTTAGGGTCGTGAACGGCACGGGGTCAGCGACCGCAAACGGGAAAC